TCGCCTTCAAGATTTACGCGATCGTAAATAAGTACGTAACGACGAGCAAAAGATCGCGTGGGAGGAAATGGACGAATCGAAGAAAAATAAAAAGAACGTGTGCGTATATTTTTCTGCAATTATACACGCAATCAATTTTTAAATTCGCCGAACATTTCTTAATCCTGTATAAAACTTTGTCGCATAAATCTTTCATCTGTCTCGATTCTAATATGTACATCGAGCACGTCCCGACACGGTTCTTTTTCCGCGACGAAAGTAGCGCGCCGCAGGTAAGTATATCCGGGAAGTTTGGGCCATTGAACCGTGCTGCTGTTGCAAACACAATGAGCGACAGAAGCGTAGACACGCTTACTGATCGGTACATGCGTACCGGTTCTCGATTTCCCCATCGCGTAGGAAATCGACCGTAGGAAATTGGCCCGAGGGTCGTGACCGAATATCGACATTAGCGTCGAATATGAGCGGTTTCGATCGTAGTATCGATATTATGAAATAATTAATGACGTTACGTCTGCTGAAACGTAGCGCAAAAACGCGATACGATCGATCAGAAAACGCTCTTATCCTATCGCCATGATATTCCCCAAGGTTCATACGAGGGTATCCTTCGGAACACGCACACACCACTCCCATTTCCATTTCGCGTCACGAGGCGCGCGTAGCCGCCTCGTGTCTGCAAAAAAGCACCGCACACGCAAGTCCGAGTCGCGACGCCGCGTTCGAGAAGCGGGAGACGAGGTAGTCGACCGCGAGAAACAACGTCAAGAGGACAAATTTATTGAAGGGATATTAGATATATCATTGTCTTCGTCCTGCGCGAAAATAATTTTGACAAACAAAATTAATAATTAAATTCTATGAACCTAAAATAATTTAAATAATTAACAAGACTGCGTAAGTAAAAGCATCCACACTGTATATACACTGTAATTTTAGTTTAAATATATATTTAAAGATCATTTTGCTAAATGAGGGACTGGATACTGGCAAAAAGACAAAATCGTTTTCTCCAATTGAAGATGTCAATGGAATATTGAGTGCTTGTCAATAAATCGATTGACTAAACGATTAAGTTAGTCTCTTGTTGAATGAAGATGATCGGGATGTTTTTGGCGAAGCAATTACTCCATCGACTCGCTATTTAACTCGCTATAATCTCTAATTACATTATTTTTTCATCTTGACATTCCACTCGTGACAGATGTATTTCGTTTTAAATTAATTTTTGTGGAATGTTAAGTAATACAATTACATTCCCTCGACCCGCTTTTTTTTCGCCGCAAACAATGGTGGCGATGAAGATGTGACGAATGCCAGAGAAGGTTTAGACGCCTCGCCGACATAAGAATGCGTGAGGAGACGATTTAGGTGAATTAAGAGTTAATTGCCTTGAATTGAAAATTTCGCCGCCAATTGAGATGGAACAAACATAGTACAAATAGATAGAAAAACGTGTAGTTAAAACTATACAACGAAAAGAATCTAATCTCGAATAATTTTGCATCGCGAAAAGCGATTAAGAAAACTTATCTTTATCATCGTACTTATCGAAAAATCATATATCAGCAAGCAGCGTTTTATGTTATTCGTAGTAAAAATGCGATGAGTATTAAAACGTCTGCGACGTCTCGAAATGACATTTCTCTAGGAAAATTGCAAAACTTTTTTTCCATTAATTACTCGGGAAAAATTCTAATTCACGCACTCCGCGTGCTGCTTGAACGTGGAAATAAACGAGTCGGCAAAAGCAATAAGACTGCATCAGCGCACGGTCGCCCGTGTTATAACACGCTCGACAATGACATCTCGCTATTACGAGGCGCGCATACACACTATCACTCGTAATTCCCTAATGACTCCGGAATGCCGGGCCGTTCGAAGGGAGTGAAAGTCGCGGCTGAATGCGAAGCTCGGCAGACTGGCTCGATGATTCGAAGGTTGTACGATGATAAGGTGTTCTCTATACGTGTGTCGCAAAAGGTATCGGTATCAAAAATTATCATCCCGAATAAAATTAATCGAATAATTATTTTGTCTAATTATTAACCAGAGGATAAAAGTTCGCTGAACTCGCTTAAAGCGCAGACGATAAGTATAACGAATAGGGGCAGCAGCTGCGCTCGGTTCATCAAGGTTACGTTAGCAACGTAAGCAACAAAACTTGATACTTGACTAAAAATATCTGAAATTCTTCTGTAGGAGGACGGGACCATTTCGGTCCATCTCGCGCTACGGAGAATGCGTGTTTTCAACTGTACGAGTGATACGACCGCATCCATCACTCGCGATGATAAATGACCGCGGGAACGGACGTAAAAATGATACGCCGATAGTCCGTCGATAAAGCGAAAAAGTACCGCAAGATAGGGTCTATAAATAACGCAACAACGCTAATGAAGTCTCATCGTTACTACACTCTGACTCGATCGAGAAACTTTCAATGATTCAAAATTCCTGCTTTCATCAAACCGATTGATAACGCGAGGAAATGACAGTGATTTTATAATGAAGCCACGTTAAGCAACGATTGCATAGATTTTGTAACAACTCTACAAAATTGCTATTGATTAGAATCAGTGCGTTGATAAAAAAGCTGGGATTTGCGTAATATCGAGTCACTGTCAACGATTTAGTAGATAAATGATCGATACACGCACGATGGGAACAGGTATCGCGAAACGCACGAGAGTCGAAGCCGGAGGCTGCGACGAGAAGCCAAGCAGACACAGCTGGCGGGGGATAATTTAGCCACGCGCGACGAGGAGAGCCGGTTTTCCACGGCGGCCTATCACAAAACTCGCGGACGCGCGTACAGAGGTACGACGAACCGGAGAGAGATGAGTCACACGCAGCTGTTCTCCTCTCATCCAACTCTCTTTCCATCGCGCCGAGGTCGCGGCGACGAAGGAGGGAAAGGTGCCCACGTCAAGCACGCGAGTGCAGCTGTATTGTAGGCAGGCAGGCAGAGGGAGACGAGGAGAACGGATGGTGGCGGTGAAGGAAATGAGAGAATCAGCCGTCGCAAGATTTCGCCTACGCGTGGCTAGCTCTCTTGAGAACGAGATAAGACAAGGAGCTACATAGAGAGAGAGAGAGAGAGAGATGGAGAAATCAAGGAAGAGATTCGCGAAAAAAATGCGGGAGAGAAAGGCAAGAGAGCTTAGCGTCGCTACTTATTATATATCCGCCGGCAAGTGGATTTATTACGAGCGACTGCAACGGTCGGTCCCTAGCCGGAAAGACAACGAGATTCATTGCCGCCTCGGGATAATTAAGCGCCCGGTGAGCTTTCTACGCAAATCCAGCAGCTTGATGCATCGCAAAGCGCACGCTACCCCATCGTTATTGATGTTTTTTTTATACGCAACATCCGATCTCTAGATATATACGCGAGATCTACATTTTAATTTTTGTCAGAAAAATTCTTTGTGTAAATTGAATCAAAGATAAGATCTTTATACGCCACGCTCATATCTATCGTATTGTGTATAATATACTCGTTATACTCCTAATTTCTATTCGTGAAATGATCGCAATCCAATTAAGCTCCCGATAAAGTCTTGACGTATTCCTGCGCGATCATCGGCAATCAATATAACCCGATATAATCGAGCTGATCGAGGTATAAAGCGCGTGTAACGCGAAATAGCTTGTTAAGCCGCGCGCTCGACGAAGATTAATAATAACGTCTACAAAGTGAGCTCCATCATTCACGGAGCTCGTGAAAAGCCCGTCTCGCGCCATTGTAACGGCCGTCCCGCTAGCATCACGAGGCACATATAAGGTGCACACAAGCGCTGCATAATACTTCATCATTTCCACGCGCGACAATGATGCGATACGGGGATATCGAAAAGCTTACCCTTCTTTTTCCTTCTCTGTCCGGTGATAAACACGCAGAGCGACGAATCTCGAGCTGATATTAAATAAATAACTTTGTTAACGCGGACCCTCTCGCGCGCGCGGTCTATCATTTTTACCGAATAAACCTCCGATAAATCACGCGAATGCCTTCGAGATTTATCGGACGTCTTAAACGCCAATTAAGCATCGTCCGAGAGCCCTCGATCCGTGACGGCAATCGCGTGGTCGTTCGCGATTATCTCCCCGCGTGGCACGAACCTCAAGGGAAGCACGAAACATTGATGCTTGACCAAACACGGCCGTTATTGGACCGAGACTTTTTCGACACAGCCGGCTAGATCGATTATTCGATCGTCAGGAAGCCGGAACGGGGTCACGGCGAGAGAGATTCATTGCCGCTTGTAAAGTCGTTTTTCTCGCGTTCCGATCGCGTACATACACACATGCACTTGCACTTTATGCTATCTTGTTCTGAAACTTGTTTCGGTATGCGTGCAATATTTGTTTCACGAGAATCAATCGAAGCGAACGTTTTATTCCCAACGGCAACGAGCGCCGTAACGCTATTGAAGCCTGTTACGTAACCGTGTGTGTCGCGCGAAATAATTCATCGTCACATCGATAACAAGGAGCGACAATATGTATATTGGCCGAAATTGAAAGCGATGACTTTGTTTTTCGAGAATAAACGCGAAGCGTCATGATATGATAAAAAGAAGCGTAATTAGCTTGAGCAAAATTAAATTCGATGCGTACGATAATTATTTGCGTGAAAATACATGCGAACGCACAGATAATACGAAATTTACGAGAGAAACGGAATTATCCAATACAATGTTATAATACGAGAGCTAAATTACGAATAATGTTTCTTTAAATAATGTGTTTCAATTTCAAATATTCCAGAGAAACGTCCTGCTAAATAAACAACAATGGGAAAAAAAAAATTTCGCAAATATATTCTCGCTATCGCGAAAACAAGAGATAATTAGTTTTGCAATACTTCGCAGCAGAAGAGTAGTAACATTTTAAAAATAGCAATTCCTCCATTTATTTTTGTGGAGCCATCTGTATTTTTGCAAATATATCTAGTCGCTATTAATAATCGTGCAAATGAATAATTCTCCACTCACCTCCGCAAGCGGCTCCTCCTTGGTGACATCTCCATTCTTGGGCGCCTCTTCGCGGCTCGGCTTAGTCTTATCCTTCTTACTAAAGCTGATCGACCTGAAGGACCACTTTTTCTTCTAGACAGAAGATAAAAGAAGAAAAGAGACTGTTAGTAATCGACAGACTCATCGCACGTAATTATGCGTCTTCATTTCGTGGAAGCAAAAATTTTTAGAACTTTAAATTAATATGAATATTAATATACTAATATGACTAATACGTTCCCAAAACATCAGTACAAAGATTTATTTGTTATTAAAATACAGATCAATAAATTTCGATCAATAAACACTGATATACGGATTATACGACGCAGATCGCCTTACCTTATCCTTCTTTTTGGCTTCCTTATTGTCTGGAGAAGTGGCAGTGTTCGGACTGGCAGGGGTGGCCTCTGTGGGCGTCGTGACCTCCGCAACCTCCGCAGGAGATTCACCGGATGACTCTTGCTTCGTCTCCTCGGCTTTTACCTCTTCCTGCTGCGGCTGCTGAAAAACAAAGATAAATCCACCTTCGAATTTTGTTTCCCAAAATATACAAACATTAATAACATACGAATAACGAATTCATGAGTAATAAATTTACTCCCAATGCTTAATGAGCATGTGAAGAAATAATGATATGTGAATATTTCATAATCACAATAAATGTGAATCATCGAAATTATCAACAGAATCGATCAACAAAAATAGTGTGAATCATCATCAGAGATTTTTTTCATGCATGAAAAACATAAACGAAGATGAGAGAATAAAAAGACACATAATACTCCGTACACAAAATATATTCCATGTCATAAATCCTATGTCGTAAATCGATATAGTGTAAACTCCACAATCCACTTCCTGCAAGGGTAATACTTCCGAGTTCTCTCTTACCGTTTTACGCGAAACGATAGCGGTCAAGTATCACGACTCAGTATAGCTTGCTTTCGATGCATCTCTTTAATTCCTTTTATATGATATATAATTTAAAGTCCTTTTTTGGCAAAATCGAGATATTTTCTATATTATCCTAAAATTCTTACGCGTTCCTACTATTCACGTGATTATACTATCATTAATAAAACAAACGTAAATATAAATTAAATTATCAATGGCTTTAATAATAATATAATTGCTTAATAATCATCAGAAAGTTGATTAAAAATTAAAAAGGTAATATTTTGTAACGGAAAAAAAAAATATGATATAAACGAAAAACAAATTTACTTCACTTCTTCGCAAATTTACTTCGAAACTTAAATATTAATTTATATCAAAATTTAGAAGCTACACGAAAATTTCATTTCCTTCGATTATCAACAAAGTATAGTTAAGTAAAACGAACAGGCTTTAATGCCCGCAAGCGTATACGTTTCCGTGATGATACTTGTATACTTCTTGAAAGTTTCTCTTACGTCCGGAAGTGCCGCAGCCACTCCGGAATGAAGTCGTTTAACTATTTCCCATCGTGCCCCGAGGTCCATTCACTTATAAATAATATCAAACTTTCCTGAAACGCGTTAGTTTTCCCGGAAAGTGCGCCATGCAACGGCGAGGGGCCTCTTTGTTTCGGTCCTTTGAAAAGCCCTCGACAAGCTCTTTCTTGCCTTACCGGCCAAGTGCGCAGCTTACCAAAGAAAAAAAAAAATGCCGGTCGACAAGGGGCACCTCGTCGACTCTTTATGCGACAAGTCAAAATTGATTAGATTTCGGGTGACCAGGCTCTCGGGACCTTTAAACTTTATTATTATCAGAACTTAACTAAACAAACTTTGGCAAACAAAAATCCTCGTGCAAATCCGTAAGAAAAATCCTAACGAGGAAGGCTCTTTGGTTGCTAACCAAAGAGCACCGTGACAATATAATTACGATCATTTTGTAACCTAAACAGATGGACAAAATACTTCGTTAAGAACGCTTCTCAGAAACTAGCTGAAAAAGCAAGTCCCTCTCGTCATTATCTTCTTGAATCTACGACTCGTCTCATTTATCTACGTTCTTACAATTTAAAGTTATTTTGTAACACAAAACTATTTTATCGAGTTTCATCATACCGTTCAAAAATGAAGTCCTTTTTGACATTTCTCAAAATTGAAAGATTTCTTATTGCGAAATTTGTTGTTTTCATCATTTAAATATTTCTGTACGTCTCTCATTTTCAATTTTAATCGATAAAATCGATCGCGCCGATAAATATTGTCAACTTGTTTCGCCAATCCGGGCAGGTGACTGGTCGGTTGCATAAACTTCGAGCTACTTTATTATCGATGCAAATACGCGAGAACAATTCCACATGTTTATCCGATACGACACGCATGTACAGACGCATACACGTCGCAGTGCGATAAAACACAACGCGACGACCAATCGAGCGACATCCACGGTGTCGCGTTTAAGAACGATATGAATCCAACGTGGGCGTTAGATGGCGGATTTCCTGATTTATACAATGGACCAAGCGAGGCGCGACGTGCCGTCACATTCGATTACAAGTAACGCACCGCATCTCTGCACAACGTCATTTTCTCTCTCATCTCGTTTCTTCGTCGATGCCGGTAAAACGAAGCGAATCTCGACACAGGCGCATTTTGCGCGCGTTATATTATGTAAATATATATCGGTTTATTTTAGCATTCGCGAGACGAGCAACGGCGAAAAGCCCCGCAATATCTACCGAGCGAGATACGAGCGAAAGCAAGGGAGAGAAAAGGAACGATGAGAGAGAAAGCACGTGCATGGTGCAAACGAAATATTCTGCGGCGTAAATGCTTCCGCACCAGTACGATGGCACCGCGCAAATACGAAACCTTATATTGATATGAGCAACAAACACCCAAAGCACGTGCATGGTGCAAACGAAATATTCTGCGGCGTAAATGCTTCCGCACCAGTACGATGGCACCGCGCAAATACGAAACCTTATATTGATATGAGCAACAAAAACCCATCAAAGATAAAAAGTGGTTATACAGGTCGTCTGACAAAGTTTTGAATTAAAAAGTTCAATAATAAACATGCTATATAAACGGTGAAAGTTAAAATCGCGATGGAATGTATAATATCATAACAATCAAATATCATGTGATTATTTTTCAACTATATTTTTCTAGTATAAATATCACGTCCAGTGTAGAACCAAATAATGAGTTAAGATTCCGCGCGCGGTTACCGCGGGAGACGCGAAGAAATAATAATGGAAGTCTCGTCGAGAAAGGCTGATATATCAGGCAATTCAGAGGCCATGCGAGTTTACCATTAATTAATATTCAAAGATACGGCACGAGCAGAGATATGACCGTGGAAAAGGCAACCTTGTGAATAAATACGCTCGATATTGCAATGCAACCGATCACACAATATTGAAATACGAAAAAATTCACGGAAACGCAGCAGATTTTTAAATGAAGGTTAACCACGTACGAGATTCTCTCAATAAATTCCTTTGCGTCGCGTACATCGCATCTGCATGTATACACCTGTTTTGCGTCTCGCACAGTTTCCACAACAAATTCCCGAGCGTTGAGTGATCATCATCGCGATCGACGCTCAAATCCGCGTTTAACTTCAACTAGGCTGATATACTGTCGCCTAAAAAGGCCACGCAATCGCGACAGGCGTGAAAAATTACACGCTCTTCTACAGAGAAACCGATATTCAAAAACTGTAACATTCAATTAGGAATTTAATCGAAATTGTGTTTGTCAGTAAAGACCGCGAAAGCAGATAGCGATTTTATCCGCGACAATATTACACAAATTCATAGGAATTCAGACGAGTAACAACTGAAATTAAATGGCAGCGAAAGAGACGAATCGTGTTAATTAATAAAGCACGTTCGCGTCTTCGAGCTATGCGAGTTATACACGATGATTCATCGGTAAAACGCGCGATGCTGAAATATCATCGTGTATCTCCGCGCGGTATTAATTATATTCGTAATTAAATACTTCGCTTCATTTCCATATGATATCGTTCAGCTGATTCATCGGGGAGGGGCCCAATAGGCTGGATCAACATCTTATTGCGATTGATGATAATCGTATATGTGTAATACACCTCGATATATTACAATCTACAAATTATATGGAAAGCAGAGAAAATTTGCAAGAATTGCAGAATTTAAAACATCTTATAATTTAATTCGCATAAACTTTAAAGCAATTTATCACTTATTAATAAAATTTCAATCTATTAATATTTATTAATGTAATAAAAAATTGTTATTACAGTTCTCTTATTTTTCATAAGATATTTTTAATAAAAAACGAAATATAAACTGTTGTTTCCTGCGTGAAAAGCTTCTATCGCGCTTTCAAATGATTCATCTGCGTCACATTAAGTATATCATGATCAAGGTCGCGGTTCACACGATTCTTGCTTGTTACGGCTTCTAATTGTTCCAAAAGCGTGTCCAGCTATACTTTATTACGCGAGAATAATGAGCACGATCGTATCGCAAATTCCCATTCAGAAAAAAAAAAATTCAGCAGCATTGTGCTCGATTCATCGATATCAGCGCAATATATTAAAGACAGGTGTCGGGTTAACTCTTAAATATTTAGATCGCACGCGCACCTGCCTGAAGATTTTGTAAGATCGCGGATAAAGGCGTTGCCAGACGGACACCAGGGAACAGCTGATGTATATTCATGAGAGACTCGAGTATAATCTCGGATGTCAAACAAACGTACCACTCGGCAAACTTGCGTGAGCCGCAAGAATCGTAATGCAGGCATGTAAAAGTGTCCTTTAGCGCAATCGATGGGAAACGATACGATGTCTGCGAGTTACCGATGAATCGAGGTAAACGTTGTCATGTTAATACGACTGACATATCTAAATGTGGGTTAAAGAATGAGCGCCAAGACGAGAAAACTGAAAGGTGAAACTTGTCGAGTCGCGCGACGGTATTTAACTTATAACGGATCGGATTTTTATCAGCATTGTCTTAACGGTATTACGTAAACATGTTGTTAACGGGGCTTGTAACTCACAAAGTCAGAGGACGAGAAAACTTATTGAAGCGATGTAACGCGATGAGGATCGTTGATATCGATCGCGTATCCGATGTAAACGAGATACATGCGAAATAGTAACGCGAAGGAGAAAAGAGGAAGGGGGATAGAAAAGATTTATTCGTCTGGGACACACAGTTAGGTATGCCCCGTAAGAAGCCAGTATCCGAGACACGTACAGTTAGTAGCGGGAACGGACGAGTCAACCGACGAGTATACACTTATACGCTGAAGTCAAACGGTATTTTCTCGTTTTTTGTCAAAAAATCAGTGGACACCGCGATGCGCGACCTACCTCATTCTTGCTTTCGTGTCGCGGCGCAATCTTCGCTGTTTTATCAAACGCTTTATAATATTCAAGCGACGACTACTTGAAAATTCGCGCGACTTAGAAAAAGATAGATTATAGCGCAATGAGATTTCGATTATTGAACCGAGAATCGAAGCATTTGTTATCGTTCTAGGAAAGCGATCGACTCGATATGCATGACGCATGACGCATGACACAAGTGAATTCCTGCTTGATGAAACGATAACGAGAAAACATGACTCGATGTAATGAATCAATTTCATTTGCGCGCGATCTCTATAAAATGTAGAAAATGCGCATGACATTTTATTTATTTTATTTTTTTAGTTTAATATTGTTATTTATTAGAAAGTAGAAAAAAATATATATCGAGATAAAATATTGCCACAAAATTATTGACCAACGTAAAGAGATTGCTTTGAACTAAAATTCTTACGCTCTTCTTTCAAGTCGAAACGTTTATGACGAGGGAGAAATGTTCGCTCGGATTGTCGAAGTAAATGACGCCTTAAACCGTCGTGAATCGCAGAGAACGAGGGAACGAAAGAGGAACAGAAATGACTTGTCGAAGGGAAATGAAAAGGAAGCAGCGGAAGGGGTGGTAAGGTGCGCTCTCACTCGTGTGTCGTATCTAGTGCGTGACAGCTGCCAGGCTTGCTCAATTGGGGAAAATATCAAGTTTCATCTATAAGCGAGGAAATATTTCGAGATATAAACCGCCGCGCACACTTATGAGATTCGACTCGAGAAGAGTGATCCGAAAACTTGGCACGAAGTAATTGATATTCCACGAAACGCGCTGCCCAAGTTTGCCATCGCTTTTTTTCTTCGGCAAGAACTTCAGAATATAATTTTATAAATAACTAAAAAATGTGTTTTTTTTTAAAGCACGAATCATAAAAAATGTAAAGTTTATAATAATAAATCGATTATGTCACCGCGATCGCTTGTGTAAATATATCGACATTATCTAATCGCAATAAAATCGAATATATATAATCGAAAAAATAATTTAACAGATTAAACATTGAGTGAAAATCAAACATGTACACCAACAGAGATTACCTATGTTATTTATCTGGCTTCTACGATGTAAATAAAATGCACTTTAAGCGTTAATCTGTTGATGTGTGATATGCAATAAATCGTGTCTCGATAAGCGTACCAGCTTTCCGTTTATATCGCATCTTATGTAATACCATGATGATTATCATGCCATCAAAGCCGCACGCTTGAGCGATTATTGAAGCGATCGCGACGTAATGATTATGCGAAGAGGGTTCAGTGCGCTGAGTTTCGCGTTCATGAGTTATAACTTCGTACGAACAGGAAATCGATCATTATCGAAGGCAGTTTACTCTCGGTAGCAAACGAAGCAGAGCATTTCTCACCTAGGACAGAATACTCACCTCTATCGTAAACGCGACATTTAAATTCGCATGTCAAATAAAGTTTCGTTTGTACGGTACTCTTTCATCAGCGGATGTTACGTAATTTCTTTATAACGATATGACAAAGAATATATTAAAGAATTCTTCTAAATGAATGCACGTTACAACGTCGGCAATAACGATATTTTATTCTAGCGCTATTTTCATCTATATTAAATTATCTATATTAAATTATATACAAAACTTTTTATTATTCTATGCACATGTTTTTGGTTCATGAAGACTGATAAAAATATTGCTAACGCGAAAAGAAAACGATGCGTCGTCGCTTTTGACGAATCGATTAAGATTAATGATTCGCTGTCTACGTCGGATGAATCGTCGGCGAGATAAACTTTGGAGTACCTATGAGACCTTTACGAGCGAACGAATGATTCAGCACGCGTCTGTTGGCAACCGTTCGCGTAACTTGAGAGAACGAGATCATTCAAGATTGATCGACAATTGAGCGAGTGACTCACCGGAACGCGATTCGAAAATGTCAATCCGCGGAGAGTGAGTGAGAAGAACGTGTCATTCGACGTTAAATTTGCCTCGCACATGGGAAAGATAATTATATGTACAACGTTATATGAAGATAATTGGGAAATAAATATATATCTCGTTGTCAATCCGGTGATCGGCGTTCGTATATAATCATCGAAGCCGGAAACTCGAGTCAACGTATAGTCACCTCGAGCAAACTTGCTCATTAATAATGAGAACGTGTGCTAATAAAAGCATTAATATATGCTTCGTAATGGAAAACCATCGGTCTGAGCAGAACTTGAAACGCAAATATGATTATATCGCCCGGACTGAAATCGAGGTAATCAACCTGTGCAAACACTTGACCCTAATATGGCTCACATGATTTTAAGATAATATGTACAAGAATCGGTGGCAGGACTTTCAAGTCAGCAAAACAAACTTCATTCATTTTAATCGTCAATATTAACTTTTAAACCGAAAAAATGGCTAATTCGAAATATACGCAATCTTTTTTTCAATTTTTTTTTTTTTTTTTTTTTTTTTTAGTGCATTTTTACTATTCTTTAAAAAATATATAAACATGGAATTATATATATTTTACTAAAATTAATATAGTCTACAAAAATATAAATTATTGTAGAATCTCTGAGATCGATATTGCAAGATTTGAAAGATTTTGAAAAATCGACGAAATGCGAGGAATTGTTAAATAGTACTCACTTGCTCCTTGTCCTTCTCGGTGGCCTCATCTTTGTCCTTCTCTTTGTCGTCGGAGGTGTCCGTATGCGGTGCTATGCCGTTGGTGGTGGGCTTCGTGTCAGCCTCCTCAATCCTTTCCAGCTTACCGTCGCCAGGTGCGGCCGCATCGCCGACGACGCCTCCCTCGACGGGTATTCCCTCCTTCTTCGGCGTCGTCGTTATGTCCACGGACCTCTTGCTCTGTCTCGCACCCATGGTTTCTTCTTACCTTCTCGTGCCACCTGTCTTTATCTCACTTGCCTTCTGGGTACCAGGTGGTGTCCAGCTAAATTCTTTTCTGTAATCAGAAAGACGGAGTAAATTAAAATATTTTGTCACATTTTCTTAAGCGTAGAATAAAGCTAATACGGTTCCTAGAACATACTATAATAAAATTAATAAAGAGCGAGAAAGCTTAAAATTAATAATCCGAGTTTGTTCAAATCTTATGCAGTCACACGCGTCGATTCGCAACGATTTCGCCGCGGATAAGATCATTCGTTTCGCGATGCGCGGATAAGTTGCGACTCGCGACGTTACGTCGAGAAGCGGGAGCAACTTTCACCGTAACAGATACATCGGAGATCCGCGAGAGGATACGTGCTTGAATCCTTCGGCTCGAACCCGTTTCGTGACGGCAAATCTGGTTCATAAGGGCAAACGAATCTGAAACGCAACGATCGCGATTTGACGTGAAAATGGCGCGATGTACCGTCCACCTGCGCCAGATTGATCTGATAAGCGAAATTTATGTTTATCGATGCACATGGGCGTGCTTCTCATGACTTTTGCACGGATTTACGCGCAGGTGCAGCGAAGAAGGTTTTACCTGTCAATTACTCTTCTCTCTTTCTCTTTTTCAAAAATATTTCTTATTAAAAACTCGTTCGTAAACATACATGATAGCATCGAGATGCTGATAATAAACTATAAGAAAGACACACACTATCTGAGAAAACAAAGAACAACAGCACAACGGAAACGCT